ATAGAATTTTCTGGAGTAATGAAAATGTCTTGTATATGTTTCACCAAAGCAACAGCCACTATCACTAGTGGTTGCTGAGCACTTGATATAAGGACAGCGTGATCGAGAAACTGAAAATTTAATTTTGTGTTGTTACAATTAATTTAAACTTATTCAAATATAAGTTCCCATCAGCCTCCCGGGAAACAACCCTGACATGGACCTAATCATGTAAGGAAGTTACACGGGCATCTGGTGGGTGTTATCCCAGTCCTGATTCGCTGAATTACACAAACTTGTATAAAAATCATAAAACTCCCAATAACTCATTTGAAACTTTTACACATGTGGAACAGAGGACAGGTCCTATTGGTATTGTCTAGCCTGTGAGAGGGAGCCCCCATTTGGGGTCATAGCTAAAAGCCTGAAGACATACCAATTTAAATAGTACTATTGCATTTATCTCTGCATAGAATGTATACATGCCCAAGTGGTTGATTCCTGGGTAACTTCTGAGTTAAATTACAGAAGGCATGATTGCCTTGAAGTCAACATTTAACTTTTTTTATAGTTCATTCTAAATTGTCCCTGATGGGTAAAGACATCTTAGTTATCAATTGCCACAATAATTCTGCACAACAAACTATCCCCTCAAACTCAGAAGCTTAAAACATAAGTATTTGTTTTTGCTCATAAGTTAATGATTTGGCAATTTACGTATTTTCTTTTTTTATTGATTTTTTTAAAAAAATGACAGCGGAATGCATTACAATTCTTATTACACGTATACAGCATAATTTTTCATATCTCTGGTTGTATATAAAGTATGTTGCCAACAATTCGTGTCTTTATACATGTACTTTGGATAATGATTTCTATCACCTTCCACCATCCTTGCTAATCCCCTGCCTCCTCCCTTTCCCTCCCACCCCTCTGCCCCATCTAGAATTCATCTGTTAGAAATTTAGACAGGGTTCAGCTGAGTGATTCTCCTGGTCTCTTCTGGAGCTCACTCACAGGTCTGATAGTTACCAATCAGCTGTGGTAATGTGTATGACTGGGCCATGTGACACTTGTTCTCCCACAGGGTACCCTAGGCACACTGTTATGGTGAAGGCAGAGACATGAACCAATAATTCCAATTATGCAGTGTTTTTCAAGCCTCTGCTTAAACCTACTGGCAAAGAATACCACATGGGAAATTTGAATATCACAGTGGATTGGCACTACTGGGCTACATGGCAAAGGGGTGAAAAGCTGAGGCCAATAATGCAATGAATGTGCTACACTCACATTGTCAAGCCCTAAAATCTTTCTTCCTGAAAAAATAACTGAACTAAACCATGTATAAATATATTCTTAAAATCCCAGTAACTTACTTACACCTTTAAACATGTAAAACAGGAGTCACACTCTACCACCTCAACCAAAAGACATCACTCTGAGGATCTGGTCCATATAAGAAGGGCACTCCTGTTTTAGGACCAAGCAAATGAAAGGTCTAAAGAGAAAAGACTACCTAAAATAGAATTTATGTTTACTTCAAACATATTATATGCACTCAACTGGGAACTTTTTCTTAATTTAGGTAAAATATATAAGGTATGCTTGGCCATACATTAATGAAACTGATTTTGAACAATTGATATGCAGATAACTTTTCTAAGGTAATCAATGCACTTTTCGGATGACATTGGCATTAGTCAAAATGTTTTAGAATGTCTCTTTTATAACTGCTATCTGCTATCAGCAACCAAGTAACCATTCTTTTACTATCCCATAACATTCAGGATGTTTTCAGTTACAAGCATCAAAAAGAAACAATTAAAATGACTAAAGAGTAAAGGGAATTATCTCACATTAAGGAGTTCTTGAGGCAGGGCTGGCATGACCAATCACTGGGTGTGCTAAGAACTGAGGAATTCCCCAAGACACAGAACCTTTAATGCTAAAACTGGTAAAGTTCCAGGCAAAGGAAGACCATTAGCTATTTCTTAAGCTGCTCCATGAGACCTTAAAGATCCCATGTCCTTCCTTCATAATGAAGATTATGCCATTATAACATGTTATCCTAAAGGCAAACCAGCATCTATCAAGGTTGCAAAACAGCAACAATTATTTGGGACAATATTCAAAATAGAAATGAACCATTTCCTCCCACAGGTGTCCTTTTATCTGAAGAGCCTATTTTCCAAAAGTTCTTCAGTGACTTCGCCCCTATTTCACTGGCCTGGATTTGATCCCATGCTCCTTGCCCAGATTAGCTTAGGTTCTTCAAGAACCATCCTTGAGGCTGGCTTCAGCCAATTTTTCCTTAACTTCCTGGCTACGTTGGAGGAATGTGGATCCTGGAACCAAACTGGTATGTCAGGAACAGAAAGAGGAATCAACAGAGAAGGATGCTCATCCTCTGAGGTGGAAAATGTGCATCATTGAGTGTATACACTGGAGATTCAGAGCTATGGAAGCATTAAAAATTATATATAACATGGAGTTTGTTACAGGAACTTGAGATTCTACATTAGCAGGTGGGAGCGGATTAAACAGTCCACAGCCCCCTAGTGCTGCTTGTCTGGTGTAGGGCCTGAGGTTAGCAGGGCAGGCCGCCAGGCTCAGCAGGGAAGCCGAAGGTGGAGTCCCAGCAAGATGAAGCTGATGCAGGCCCACTGACCACCCAGGAGCTGCACACGCAGGCCCAGGAGTTTGGAAAGATTAAGGAAACCCAAGTCCCACAAAGGGAGACAGCAATCGGCGTAAACTCAGTTTTTCTGCCCCTTGCAGCTACCTTCAACGGGTGAGAAAATGGTTATGTCCTTGCTAATGCCGGAAGTCTGCATACAAGGGAATTCTGGGAAATGTAGTTCCAGGTCACGTAGCTTAACGCTGTACAAAACGATACTGTCATCCTGAGTGTGACTTTGATTCTTAGAAACGGCCTAGTTAAAACCTCAAGCAAATTCGAGGAAGTAAAGTGCACCTGGTACTTAACTCTTCTGGAAGAATATGTCACTCTCTTATTTTCTTTCATTTTTCTCACTATGCACAGCTGTCAGCTCTGATGGCCCAACCAAAGCAAAGTGAGAAGGACAACATGCCAAGTTCTTCAATCACCCCACTAACTCACTGTTTGGACATGCTGTGGTAGGGCCTGTAATGGATATACTGCTGATGATCCCCAGGGGGAAAGTCAGTTTAATCTATAAAGTTTGGTCAACCCATACATCTTATTGAACTCAGTAAATCAAAAAGCAATGTACCCATGAGATAAATATAAATAAATTCTCTTTGAGGTTTTTAAAATTTTTTTATTTGTTCTTTTTAGTTCTACATGACAGTAGAATATATTTTGACATATCATACAGTCATGGAGTATAACTTCCCATTATTGTAGTTGTATATGATGTGGAGTTACACTGGCAATGTATTCATATACAAACATAGGAAAGTTATGTCCAATTCATTCTACTGTCTTTCCAGTTCCCATTCCCACTCACTTCCCCCAACTCCATCCTGCCCAATCTGGTGAACGTCCACCTCACATCTCACTCTAACCCATCTTCTCCTGCCTACCTTATTGTGAGTCAGCATCCACATATAGAGAAAACATACAGCCTTTGGTTTTTTTGGAATTGGCTTATTTCACTTAGCATAATGGTCTCTAGTTCCATCCATTTACTGGTAAATGCCATAATTTTGTTCTTCTTTATGGCTGAGTAATATTCCATTGTGTATATGTACCACATTTTCCTTATCCATTCATTTGTTGAAGGGTACCTAGGTTGATTCCACAGCTTATCTATTGTGAGTTGAACTGCTATAAACATTGATGTGTGGCCGAATCACTATAGTATGCTAATTTTAAGTCCTTTGGGTATAGGTCAAGGAGTGGGATAATGGGATAACTGGGTCAAGTGGTAGTTCCATTCCAAGTTTTCTGAGGAATCGCCATACCACTTTCCATAATGGTTGCACCAATCTGCAGTCCCACCAGCAGCGTATGAGTGTACCCTTTTCCCACATCCTCCACAACATTTATCATTGCTTGTTTTCTTGATAATTGCCATCCTGACTGGAGTGAGATGAAATCTCAGTGTAGGTTTACTTTACATTTCTCTAATTGCTTGTGATGTTGAACATTTTTTCATATATTTGTTGACAAACATATTTTTTATTCCTGTGAAATATCTGTTAAGTTGCTTTGTCCATTTACTGATTGGGTTATTTGGGTTTTTGGTTTTAAGTTTTTTGAGTTCTTTATATATACTGGAGATTTATGCTCTATTTGGGGTGCAGGTGGCAAAGATTTTCTCCCATTCTGTATGGTCTCTCTTCATGGTCTTAATTGTTTCCCTTTCTGTGAAGAAGCTTTTTAGTTTCATTCCATCCCATTTATTGATTATTGGTTTAACCTCTTGAACACCATTTCTTGAAGAGGCTATCTTTTCTCCAATGTATGTTTATGGCATTTTTGTGTAGTATGAAATAACTATATGTATGTAGGCCTGTCTCTGTGTTTTTATTCTATACCATTGGTCTTCATGTCTGTTTTGGTGCCAATTCCATGATGTTTCTTACTATAGTTCTGTAATATAATTTAAGGTTTGGTATTGTGATGCCTCCTGCATCACTTTTCTCACTGTTCCTCTGCAGTTTTGAAATGTGTATTAAGTCTAAAAGAGGTGGGAGACAGGGGGGAAGGGACATGAAAACCGAAGATCAAGATCTATATGAGACAAGCAGGGTCAGAGGCCATTAATTCAAGAGTATTATTTAAAGATGATTACTATATCTATATACACATCACAGAAGCCCCAAATTTTATAGTAAAGAGCAGTATGCAAACATCTTGTCAGAGATCATCGTAAGCTCAACAACTTGATATATATATATGTATATATCATATACATATACATACACATATATTTATTTAAAAATGAGAAGCTTTACTCAAAAACATGAGTGAATCTCAAATGGAAAGAACTAGACTCAAAAGACTACATAGTGTATAATTCTGTTTATAGGACTTTTAAAACAGGCAAAACTAATCTAAAGTGGAAAAAATCAGAAGAGTTTGCCTTGGACTACGGGGCCAAAAAGAACTGGTAAGGAGCCTGAGAAAACTTTCAGAGATGACGAGTATATGTGTAGATATGTGTCTGTGTGTGTATGTCTGTGTGTGTATATAGACATATATATGTATGTGTGTGCAGAGGGGAGAGAGGGGAGGGGTGGGGCTGTGGGGATTGGAAGGATAGTAGAATGAGACACCATTACCCTTTATATATGTATGATTTCACTACTGGTGTAAGTCTGCACGAGGTACAGCCAGAGGAATGAGAAGCTGTGCTCCATTTGTGTAAAATGCATTCTACTGTCATGTATAAGTAATTAGAACAATTTAAAAAAAAAAATAGAAGGGAGGACTTGGGTTGTGGCTCAGCGGTAGAGCACTTGCCTAGTACGTGCAAGGCCCTGGTTTGATCCTCAGCACCACATAAGAATAAATAAACAAAATAAAGGTATTTGTTCATATACAACTAAAAAAATATTTTAAAAAAATAGAAGGGAGACCAGTAGAATAGAAGAAGGGGATCAGAGAGAGGGAGGAGAGGGAAAGGGGAGGTACTAGGGAATTAAATTGATCAAATTATACTGTTTTATTGTAAGCTTGTATGAATATATTATAACAAATCCCTCCCCCCAAAAAGAAAAGAAACATGACCCAAAATAAAAAAAAGAACAAAGATGGCAAAATATTAATTGTAAAATCTAGTTGTTAGGTAAACAGTTGAGGCTAAGATTAAATCATAGATATAATACCAACATACTGACTGAGGAAGAGATACTAACTGAGTCACTGGGGAAGGATTAAAAAAAATGATTTAAAAGCTACTATCAATTAAGAGGAAGGTATCAAAAGGCAGGTCAAACATTCAGAACATTTTATGTGGTCATTCTTTAAAAGTTCTTTTTCTCTCGCCATTACTACGTACCTGCTATGTGATTACCCTAAGCTCAATATACTGCAAGTACTGTCTATCGCACACTAAGAATCTTTCTCTACCTCTTCTCCTTTCCATGGCCCTGTATCAGTCAGCTATAACATAGAATACTGCAGAACAAACCACCACTAAACTCAGTGGTTTACAACAACAAACCATTATTTTTTGCTTATGTATTTACAGAGTGGCCAGGGATTGGCCTCTCTAGATTGGCTCTACTTATCTAGGTTTCAGACTCCATGTCTCTTATCCTTCTTGGGCCAGCAGACTTCCTGAGTCACGTTCTTTTCATGATGATAACTGCAACACCAGGCATCAAGAACATCTCAAGACTTTGCTCCCATCATCTATGCTAAAATTCCATTATCTAAAGCAATTAGCACAAATAATTAACACAACTAAATCACAGGCCCCCGTGGAAAGTTGGGTTCACCTCAAGTTCCTTGGTTATCCCAGAGTTTAGTGAGGTGAGCTCTTTTTTGTCTGTTCAATGGACTCTCCATGGTTTTCACTGTGCAGAAAAAAACAAATCTTGAGTGTACAAGTAGACCAATTCAAGTGGACTGTTCTATTTTACCTCTTCTGCTTCCCTCAAGGTAAAATCCCAAGGGGACACTTACAAACATCTGGCCAAGAGAGGGAATACAGGGTACTTATTTTTCTTCTTTAGGAGCAGTGAATTGGAGTTTCAATTTCTCCAGTTAAAAGTCGTCTTTTTACAGCATCCTGTTGGCAGCCCTGTCATTAGGAAAAGAAATCTTTCAGGGAAAGGGTTATTGTCTAAAAAAGACACAAAAGGGTCTAGAGATTAAAGGACCCTCTCAGGTTGTCTTGAGTTTCCCAGAGCTCTCTGTTTCTATTTTGAGCAGAGCGTTTGGCTTCCCTTGTAGCCTCAAGTGAGCCTTTTGAGTCTCCCTGCAACACTTTTCTACCGTTTGCAAAAAGGGATAATAAGACTCGCTGCTGGGTAATGCATATAAAGTGCTCAGAGGAGCTCAGGAGGAAGGTAGGCTTCTCCAGGGGAAAGCTGTCAGCATGTTTTCTCCTGATCTCCAGATATTTTCAGTGTCTGGTACTCTCATTAGAGCATCTGGTCCTTTTTCAGAGAAGTTAGAGGAAAGGCAGAATAAATGGAACTGAGAGGATCCCTTCTCTCGCTCCTGCTGCAAAGGAGATATGTCAAGTTGAGAGATGAACGATTACTATTCTTCACTTGCTAACACTTTGTACCCTATTTTCAAATTAAGGAGCACATTGTTGGCACGCCCGAAAGGTTAAACACTCCCACTTCATTGCTGCAGTCACTAATTGGTGCTTTATCACCATTCCTGTGGAAGGAACGTCTTGTCTGCACTGCAGAATCCTTCCCCCACAGGGCTGGGTGAGATTTGGAGAGCATCTCGAGTTTCTAAAGTTAGATCATAAATCTCTCTCTTGCTTGTGAGGAGGTATTACACCCCAAAAGACCCCATCTGTTAATTATCTGCAACTAATTTTGAATTATATCAAAATAAAATGATCAAATTGATATATTTTTCAACTTTTAAAAACTAATTTTTAACTAATTTTTAATTATAAGGAAGCTAATTTTTTTCTTCTATGGATATCTTTTAGACACAATGCAATCAACTTTAATACCATAAATAATTCAAAGTGGTAACTGCATAATATATTATCTTCATGATCTTATTTTAAAAGTGTCACCTGTGGAGACAGGAAGAGGACTGGGTTGTAAAGATTGGACACAGCTGGGAGTAGTGCCGCATGCTTATAATCTCAGCAGCTTGGGAGGCTGAGGCAGATGGATCGCAAAGACAGCCTCAGCAACTTAGTGAGGCCCTCAGCAACTTAGCAAGACCCTGTCTCAATATAAAAAATAAAAACAGGGCTGGGGTTGTGGCTTAGTGGTTGAGCACCCCTGGGTTCAAAAAAAATCCACAGATGCTCATGACCCCATCTGTACACATTCTCTTATATAAATCATCTCTAGATCACTTATGAGACCTAATACAATATGATCACTAGGTAAATTACTATTATACTGTTTGAGAATACTGATAAGGAAAAGTCTATTCAGCACAGATGCTATTTCATTTTTTATATATTTTCCATCCATGGTTGGTTGAATATATGGATATGGAATCCAAAGAGGACGGACTATATTATGCTTCAATAAGTTGAAAAACATGCAAGTAAAAAATTACAAATGCAAAATAGAAAGTGTTAAGGTAAGACTTACACCTAACTTTCTATCTTCACTGCCATGACCTGAAAGAGGAGAGACAACAATTCTCTTTCTGTCTGGTCAGGCAAGTGGCTTTGTTCCACAGACCCAGCTACCCTCCCATGGAGCATCCCAAGTCTGACCTTAGGAAAGAAGTAGGGACTCTGCCTGGCAGTAGTCCAAGCCACATTTGCTAGTCCAGTGCTGCTAGCAACAGAAGCGTTATTTTGACCTCCAATTCCCATTGCTTGTGTGTGTTTCTCAACTGATTCCAAAGATTAAAGGGGAAGAGGTATAACTAATTATCACCCCTTAAACTTCAACAACTTCTTTCTCAGAAGTTAAAAAATGAAGAAAGGCCAGACATGGTGGCACATATCTGTAATCCCAGGGTTCAGGAAGCCGAGGCAGGAAGATCAAAGCCAGCCTTAGCAACTTAGCGAGGCCCTAAGCAACTCAGTGAGACCCTATCTCTAAATAAAATATAAAAAGAGCTGGGGGTGTGACTCAGTGGTTGAGTGCCTCTGAGTTCAATCCCTGGTACCAAAAAAAAAAAAAAAAAAAAAAGACCAGAATAAAGGTATGACTTTTCTTTTTAAACAAGACCAGAGAATGTGAGTTCTTAATGTTTGGGTCTCAAAACAAACTGGATAATAAGGAATGAAAAGAATAAAATTGATTTATCTCCTCCATGTAATATTTTCCTGTGCTAACTAAAGGAACTGCTTTCATGTGCAGACACTGGACTGGGGATTTGGAGTGACTTCATGTCATGGCAGAGATCATCCTTTTGCTGAGTTAGGCATCACAGTCACCAATTACCATAGATGGAAAGTGCGACCACAATATTTCGTAGTCTTTTTCTTTGATCTGGGCTTGGACTTTTGACGTACTGTTTTTATTACGTAGCAAACATAAGACAAGTACAGTCTTAAAAGGTGATGTCTATTTGAATGTGGCCTCTCTTGCAGTTGGGAACCCTTTCACCACCACATGAAGAAGCCTGGAAGAGCCAGCCAGAGGATGAGAGGCCACACTGGAAAAGAGACCAGCCAGCCCAGCCAATGCCCCAGACATAGACATAAGATCATCCAAGACCATTGTGCCCAGCTGAGCAGTCCAGAGGAGAAGAGCCACCTGGACAACACCTAGAATTTTGAAAATTAAAAAAATGTGTTACCACTACACAGCTATTAGAATGGCAAAAATGCAAACCCCTGACTACATCAAATGCAGTACAGATATGTAACGGGATCTTTCATTCATTGAGGATGAGAATACAAAACAATACAGCCATTTTGGAAGATAGTTTGGCAGTTTCTTAAGATCTAAATATACTCTTACTATACATGCAGCAATCACATTCTTTGGTAGCTTCCCAAAGGAGTTATAAAACATGTCTATCCAAAAGCCTATGTACTGATGTTTATAGCTAATTTCATTCATAATTACTTAACTTGGAAACAATCAAGATGATTTTCAGAAAGTAAATGAATAAATAAACTGTGGTGCATCTCAACAATAAAATATTATTTGATGCTACCAAACTCTGGAGGAACCTTACTGCACATTACTACATGAAAAGAAGCCAAATTAAAAAGGCTACACAGGGTAGGATTTCAATGATAAGACATTCTGGGAAAGGCAAAATATGAAGATGGTAAAAATGTCAGTGGTTTTCAGGGTTTGGAGGAAAGACAGATGAATAAGCAGAGCATGGAGGATTTGGGAGGCAATGAAACTATACTGTATAATAAATACTGTGATGATAGATACACCATTTTACCCATGTTAAACCCCATAGGATGAACACTAAGAATTAACCCTATAATGTAAACTACAGACTTTTGGTGATGATATGTCAGGGTGGGTCCATCCACCTCTCTGGTGCAGTGTATGGTCGTGAGAGAGACTGTGAGAGAGCAAAGAACAGAGGGCATTATGGGAGAATTCTTTGCATTTCCTGCTCAGTTGTGTTTTTGTTGTTGTTGTTGTTGTTTTGAGAACTTAAAAACTCTCTTAAAAATTAAGTTCACTAAAAACTGCCTGTTATTCTAAGGCACTAGGTTTGGAGGTAGCTTGTTAGAAAAACCATATACAGGGTCAACCTTAGATGGGAGGCAGGATCAAAGGGGAATCAAATCTATCACCTCAGACCTCAAATACACAAATGAGAAGACACATGGTCAAATAGAAGCCTTGGAATTCAGGAATGACTTACACCCATACCTAGAGTTTGGCACATGAGTTAACATTTAACTTTGCTGAGTCTATCGTTTTATAAGAAGGACTCAACTTACCAGCCCTATCGCATGCTATTTTAGCTTCTTCCTTATTTTTTTTTAAAGAGAGAGAGAGAGAGAGAGAGAGAGAGAGTTTTTTAATATTTATTTTTTAGTTTTCAGGGGATACAACATCTTTGTTTGTATGTGGTGCTGAGGATCGAACCTGGGCCGCATGCATGCCAGGCGAGCACGCTACCGCTTGAGCCACATCCCCAGCCCCTTCTTCCTTATTTTTTAAGTATATTTTTTATTTTATTTTTTTAGTTGTAGTTGTACACAATATCTTTATTTGATTTATTAATGTTTTCTATGTGGTGCTGAGGGTCCAACCCAGCGCCTTACACATGCCAGGTGAACACTCTACCGCTGAGTCACAATCCCAGCTCCTTTTTCCTTATTTTTAAGGGAAAAATTCTTTCCACTGAGGCCTAGCAGTAAAATTCCTATTTCTAGATGCTTCAAAAGGAGAACCTAAGGTAACAAATGTAATTCCTCTGTTTGTTTTTAAAGAGGCAGAAGACATGAAATGCTTCAACTTGAGCAGTTCCATGTGTACCTGTCCAGCATGTACCTGTCCTGTCCCAACCACCCTCTCAATATGGTTGCAGTTATGAGCACCAAGGAGGGTGGGAGTCAGTATTGGTTTCTTCTAAAGGAGTGAGCTTACCATGTCCCACCCTTCCCTCCTTCCCACCTTGCTCCCTACCTTTCTCTCTCCCCCACACCAGCAAAGAATGTTGACTCAGTCTCTTTATTAAAAGACTCTGATACTTTTGACCCAGGATTTCTCTGGATGTCATGGATAATGTGCCAAGATCTTTGCCTTGGAAGATAAAGTAAGAAAATTCTCTATGGATGAAAAACCAAACTTGGGGTCTTGAGTTCAGATTCCAAGCCCAGCAAGGTTTGGCTCTAGGCTGGTATGCAGGCTGAAGTCGTCATCTAGCTCCGCAATGGATTTGGGGAGTTAGGGAGGAGGGGGACAGAGCACAACTTATTCATAGAGGGAGCTGGCAATAGTTTAAAATTAGCACAATCTCCTGAATTGATTAGAATTCCATAAAGGCCGTTAATTATCGCTAACCATATGCCTCTTGTCTATGTGCTTCTCTATTCAACATAAGAATGACAACTCAATCACAGACTGGTCCCAAAATTGAACTTCTATCCCTGAGCCACTTTATTCCTAGTCTCCTCCTCCATTCATAGAAAAATCCAGAAATGTGAAGAAACCTATCCTGGACCAATGATGAGATATCTCCACCCTCACTCCACTTACCCACCCAAGAAGGCAGGAATGATTAAGAAAGCTAAGTCTACAAATTCAGAGAGGTTTTTCTAATTTGGATCAAACAATACCTCAAAAGTTAGAACTCCCTAAATTCTTCATCTGTGACTATACAAGTCAAGAAAAGTGAGATGTTGAGCTCAGAGAAACATGTTTATTTACTGTAGTGCAAGTTTCTTAAAAATGTGTGTGCATACACATGCACACGTATTAATATCTTTCCCTCTAACAACACATCATGAGATTAGAACATAGTTTTAAACTATATTATTTCCTTTACCAACATCAATAAAGCACTGCCAAACCAGATGCCGGCAAGAATACAAAACTGATTTGAATTCCCATACCCCCCTGATGGAAGTGCAAACTGTTACAGGGCTTTTTCTCCAGAGAGCCTGTGGTTAAACATTTGCAGTACAGCAGTGGGGTATCTAGGGAATGTTTAAATCATGCAGGGTGCTTAGTTGCAGACAACAAAATTCAGTCCAGTTTAAGTAGACCTGCAGAAGGACCATCAAAAAATTTTAGGAAGCTGCTGGGATGGAAAGGTTTATTTCAAATACTCTGATGTCTTGGATACACATGAGCATGAACCTGAACCATCATTGATATCTCGCTGTGGAAATTCGCAAGCAGAAAATGTGTGACCATCATTGATGCCCCAGGACACAGAGACTTTTTCAGAAACATGATTACAGGCACATCTCAGGCTAACTTTGGTGCCCTGATCATTGCTGTGATGTTGGTGAATTAGAAGCTGTTATGTCCAAGAATGGGCAGACCTGTGGACATGCCCTTCTGGCTTAAACACTAAGTGTGAAACAAGAAAATGAATTCCACTGAGAAACCCCATAGCCAGAAGAGATACAGGACATTGTAAAGGAAGTCAGCACCTAAATTAAGAAATTGGCTACAACCCTGATATTTGTACCCAGTTCTGGCTAGAATGGTGACAACATGCAAGAGACAAATGTTGACATAACTTGGTTCAAGTAACTCCATGAAGGGATGTTGAGTCACCTTAGGTCAAAAGTATCAAAAGTCACCCATAAAGAGGGAAATACCAGTAAAAACATAGTGCTTAAGCTCAGATTTCATCTTTCTACCAATTTGACCAATTGACAAGTCATACATCTGCCTTCCTGGATGTCTGCAAAATTGGTGGTATTGGTATTGTCCCTGTGGGCCAATTGGAGAATTGTGTTCTCAGCCTGGTATGTTGGCCACCTTTCCTCAGCCAGTGTCACAGCTGAAGAAAAATCTGTTGAAATGCACCATGAAAATTTGAGCAAAGCTCTTCTGGGGGATAATGTAAGCTTCAATGTCAAGAATGTGCCTGTTGAGGATATTCATCCCAGCAATGTGGTGGGTGACAGGAAGAATGGTCCAATGAAAGCATCTGGCTTCACTTCTCAAGAGATTATCTTAAACATCCAGGCCACTTCAGTGCTGGCATGATCCTGTACTGGATTATCAAGTGGCTCACATTGCTTGCAAATTTGTTGAGCTAAAGAAGAAAATGGATTGCCACCACTCTAGTAAGAAGCTGAGAACCTGGTGATGCTGCCATGGATATGGCTCCCAGCAAGCCCGTGCAAGTTCTGAGCTTCCTTGACTATCCTCCTCAGGGTCATTTTTCTGTTCATGATCTGAAGCAGACAGTTGCTATGAGCATCATCGAAGTGTGAACTAGAAAGTGTCTGGTGCTGGGGAGGTCACTACATGTGCCCAGAAGACTCAGAGAGATAACTGAATATTGCCCCCAACACCATCCACCCCCATCTTAATCAATAGTAGAAGAAGAGTCTTGGAACTTAATGTCTCAATTGCCTATTTAAGTTTAGTAGTAAATGACTGATTAATGATAAAAATGCATTATGAAACCTTCAGAAGGAAAAGGGAAAGCTTTGCGGACCATTTGGTTTTTATTTACGTGGGGGTGGGTGGATGGGGCTGGGATTTTGTGGCAGTTTTAAGTTGTTAAGTTTTATACTCAGTATGTTTTTGTGAAAAATTCTTGACTGAAAATCCATCACAGAATTTTGAGACCCATTAAAACAAAATTGAATGAGAAAGGGTTGGGGAGTGGGGGGAGGGGAGGCAAAATTAGGTTTAGTGTGACAAAAGTTATCCTGAGATTACATTTTGTATGAAGGAGAAAAAAATAATAACTTTTAATTATTATTTTCATTTATAAAGGGAAAGTAGAGGCATTGAGAGAGAATAGTGAGTGTTAATCATTCAGAAATTGCTCTCATACCCAAAAGATATAACTAAGCTTCCACAGGGAATGGATAGAATTCAGTGGACAGCTGATATTTTTACCTGCCTGGCACCCCTCCTAAGTTTTATTATAGAATCTCACTTTTTCTTTGGGACACTACCTATTTCTCATTCCATATGGTCCTGTCAATCAAAGAACTTGCACCCACTGCCCATCCAGCAAAAGGAACATACTCCAACTTAGGTCACGGTTCCTCATGGGTCTTAAGCCGAACAACCCAAGGACACCCCACCACCACCACCTTAAGTAAGCTAAAACTAAGTCTTTCCCATGATAGTTCCCTAAAAATGCTGTTCATCGATCCCTGCTTCAGGATCCCCAGATTTCCCA